TAGTTTTTAACGAGCTGACGAAGCAGTATAGCTTCCGAAAGCTTCTCGAATAAACGAAGAGCTGGAAGTACGGTTATCTCCATCAGCATTCAACCATGTGCCAGCTAAACAATAACATTTTCAAGCAAATACCAAAAAAATAGCGGAAGAATATCGAAACCGAACCAACATGGTAAACTCAGGAAAATACCAAGTTTTTTTTTTTTACCAAATTCACAGCCTCTTTTACATTAGGGACAGTTCACAATACCAACAGAATAGTTAAAGGGACTATCCCACCTTCTAAAATGTTGTTAAAACCAGTTAAATTGTGCCCGACTTTATAGATTGGATGACCAGGAACACGGTTCTGGCATTTATTTTTCATTAAACATCTTAGGCTTCCCATATTCCAAACACAAACTTTCAAATATGTGACGTCACAGCCCAAAATTACCTCCTTCCCCAGGCCACATTACTGTCATAAAGCTGATTCTTTTTACTCTGTAGGCACCACAACAAAGTTCAGACCAAGTTTTAAGCGATTTTTCAACGAACAAACCCATTTAAATCAGAATGACTAAACGAGGTGACGTCACACTAACGGTCGCTCCATGTTGAAGATAGGGCCTTGCACAAGGCCCATTTTCAAATGAAGGGAACGAATTTCTTCAACACCAAGAGGCCGCGGGGTTGCAACCTAGATAGATAGTGGTTTCTGAACCTCGCCGCAAACTTGGCTAGGTATCTCAACTCAAACCCCATGTTAAAGGTGGGATAGTCCCTTTAATACCAAATGCATTAGCCTTGAAATATTGAATACCAAGTTGGCATCGGGTTGGTATCGGTGTCCCAAAAAGTTGGTATCTGATCGATATCTTGTAGAGGCTAAATAAATACTTCGTGGTGGCGCGGAAGCTTATCACGCTTTGACCAATCATATTGTGACGTTCAAAAGCAACTGCACGCTCATTGGCTGAGCTTAGCCTCAGCAGCAGGTGACTGCTTTACGGCATTCTTCTACAAAGCACCACATTCCTCTACAAGGCACTGTTTTTAGAGCGAGAAATGGAATATCTTTGCCTAGGGTGATATTTAGGACGTAAAAGCTCCTGATTTTTGCTAGTCTCAGCTCAAGCTACAAAACTGCTATTCCAGGTAAAAATCTCATGGTAAAAGTGGTATATAAGTGTCTCAACTGACGCGATCTCTGTCTCCGATTGCTCTGAACAGATTCCAAAAGGCACAAGTCTCCTAGATACCCTGTGTTCCAGACACAAAATCAGTAGGGTAGGGTGGGGTAATTTGAACAGGTGGGGCAATTTGAACAATTTGGGTAAATTGATAGGTTTTAAAAAGGTACGGCCCTCCAGGTATTAACCCTCGCTCTGGCAGGGCATTTTTCATAACACGGCCGGGCAGGGGGGGGGGGGGTCGATGCGACCCCCCTCGCGATTGGCTCCTATAGCACCTAGAAACACCAAATTTGATAGGTAGGTGGGCCCCCTGGAGTTCTCGTCCCTGTGCAAATTTGGTTGCTCTAGGTCAATATTTAGGGGGGTTTTGGGGGGTATAAATGTAAAATTTTTGCTAAAAACAGGTCAAAAGTTTTTCGCTTATAACTTTTGATCTAATTAAGATAGCGCAAAAAGAAAAGCACCACTGAACTCAGCACGTCAAGGCGCGTCGAATGGCTTACTTTTTGGCTTGCTGAAGTGTACTTAAAGTTTTTCTTAAATTTTAAGTTAACTTAATTAAGTTCAAATTAACCAAATTGCATCATATCGCATATCATTCGATTCGTCTGATCACAAGGAACACAATGACACCATTTGTTAACCCGCGCCTTGGTGGTGGGGGGGGGGGCGCTATTTTTTGCCCCCCTCCAGACTTTTCGATATATCTCCAGAACTGCTGCGCCCATCGTCACCAAACTTTCAGTACCCTCCCGGACATCAATGTTACACATTGTGACCAGAAAATTTTCCAAAGGCTATGATAGGTTGGCCGGAAATGACGTCAGAGTGACGTCATGTTCTGCCGTTTTCGACCCAAAAAAGGGTTTCGCGGGAAGAGCTGTCAGGCCTATAGCTTTGCAAATACAGAAAAACGATAAAGACATAAAAGCTGTAGAATTGACAGGGCTACAAAACTGCTATCTCGGATTTTTGAAATTTTTGGATTTTGACCCCAAAAAATAAAAAGATAGATTTTTTTTTTAATATAATAGCCGAAAAATTCAAAAAGTTTTTTGAATTTCGCAAAAACGGGAATACATGTGATAGTCCTTACCGCCTTCTATCCACATACCAACTTTGAGATTGATAACTCTTTTTTTTTGGCGAAGTTATAGCGAAAAACGGTTCAAAATTGATGACCTCAAATTTTCAAACTCAATTTTTAGCAATTCTAGACCCCGTAGCGCAAAACAAAGACCACCATTAGACTCCCCGTGACGAGCTGCATCGAATCAATACCCATGTTACGCAAAACTATCAACTTTAAAATTTGACCTTTTTTGACCTGACCTTGACCTGACCTTCACCAGAAAGTGACCTAAGCCGTACCTGATAGTCTTATACCCAACACAATTGAGTTGGAAATGAAAAATTGGCAATAAAACATGCATCGCACAACCTTAGTACCTAAAGTTAGGTTCATGTGACCTGACCTGTGACCCTTGGTGACCTGACCTGTGACCTGACCTGGTAATGTCAGTGACCTCTTATGTACTATCGCAGTTGCCTAGCAACATATGTACTAGGCAACTGACTCCCTATCGCTGATTCTCGACAAAATGCGTTTTCTTCGGTGTTATAGCGCATTCCCTAGATGACCCGTGAACGGTGAAACATTTCATCTTTGACCTGACCTGTGACGTCATCGGTGACCCCGAGGTCAATGAAATTTGGTTTCCTTCGATAAATTTGACAGGCCTTTCGAACGCCGTTTGAATTTTGCGGATCCGTCCGGTAGTTTCGGAGGTACGAGGGGGGGGGGGGGGGGGGGGGGGCAAAAAATAGCCCCCCCACCAGGTCGCGTTAAAAACAGACCCCACCAGGGCGCGGGTTAAGCTCTGGCGTCATTATGTGCAAAGTTATTGGCAAAAACGTCATTTGACCTCAGTTGACCTCTTGACCTGACCCGTGGATAAGTACACCAAACAAAGAAGCACCAAGTGACCTGCTGTTAAGTACTGTGGTTTCAAAGCACAAAAGTGATAGAACGAAGCGGATATCTCCAGTATTTTCCGAATTTAGTATTTTCCTATAGGCTTAACCCTCGCACGACCAGGCCATTTCTCATAACACGAACGACCAGGGGGGGGGGTTGTTACGACCCCCCCCCTGGCGTTTCGAAACGGAAGGTCGTAGAGCTTAGCGGAAAAAACAAACGGATGGCTCTCAACGAGATCTCGCGATTGGTGGTATATTTTTTGGTCCTAGGTCAACATTTGACCTACTTTTGACCGGTCAAAGGTCAAATTTTCGGAAAAATAGACTTTTTTCAACTTTCCGCGGCGATTGCGGCAAAACGGTGGGAGATATCGACTTGAAACCTTCACTATCGTGTTCCTTGATCAATTCTCTATCGTTTGGTATGTATTTCGTTTCCCTAGCTCTAAAAATGGCGCGTTGGGAGCGCCGGAAGTCGGCAAGGTCACAGTCGGCGGCAGAAATTCGAAAAATCAAAATTTAAATTTTTGAAATCTGATTGTATTTTTGGATTTGGGAGGTCCATTTGCTCCCTATAGAAGCTAATATTGCTGCATATTTCCTTTGAGGTGACAAGAATTAGCAAAATAGTGGTTCGGGCGCTTTTCAAAAATAGTACCGGACGCTGTTCCTCTTGTGACGTCATAGCTCCGTGACCTGACCTGACCCGGTCAAGTTTCTTATACCATATATGATAGCCAATACTTGCCCCAACATGCATGGGAAGTTTCATCACGATCCATCAACCGATGTCCGTACCACCGGCAGGAAACCTCGGGCGTTGGCACTCAGTTTGTGAAAATCCGGCCGGAGGCTGTTCCCTTTGTGACGTCATAACTCCGTGACCTGACATGACCCGGTCAAATTTTTTTCATCAAAAGATGCGCAAGGTTTGCCCCATAAGGTACCCAAAATTTGGCGGCGCTGCGCGCCGCCGTTTTTGCACTATTTCCCAAAAACCTCAGGGGGGGGGGGGTTGATACAACCCCCCCCCTAGGCGTTCTAGGGTTAACATTAGACGTAATGACCTCTAACTGACCTCAGGTCAGTGACATCAAAAAACCCGAACTATATGTTATAGAACTCGGTGAACCTAGCACACCCTGAAAGTTTGAAGAAAATCAGTCCAAAACTGTGAGTTGGACAGGTGCAAAAAGAAAATTGAAATTTGACCATGACCTTGTACCGGTTTTTCTGACCTGGTGACCTGACCCAAGGTCACTCGGACCTGAAATTTTCAGGTCATATGTAAAAAGGTTGCCCCATAGACTGTGCCAAGCCGCCGTTTTTACGCTATCTTCGAAAAACCTTAGGGGGGGGGGGGTCGCATCTACCCCCCCCCCTGCCAGGGCGAGGGTTAAGTGGTTGGATGTCAGCATCACAATAAGCGATCTGCATTGATGAATACGTCTAATGGCAGTTGAAAACCATTGCCGAAGTGTGTGCACGAACCCTCCTCATTTCTATTGAGTCATATTACAGGTGTGTCTCTGTCATTCAAAGTTATTACACCAAAAGCACATAGGCTAACCAACCACTCTTTCTGGAGGGCCGTACAGCCTTTCTGATACAGTTTGATACGGTTTCATACAGTCATTTTTCTCAATTTTGTCTGCCTTGACAGATGAAGCAATGTCAGAACAAGCCTAGGAACACGCATATCTGATCAGGATCGGATGACTGGACAATTTTGAAAGGGAGCTTACTTGTTTCCCGGAAGTTTATTGAGAACGGATGTGGAGTTAAATAAAAGAGCGTCTATACTAGTTGATTTACCAACTAATACAAGGTTTTCGGTGTCCACAGAATGGAGACAACTGCTGTTCCTGCTGCTAGGGTCAAACAGGAGCCTCGAGCCGACGATGATGAGATCAACCAGCTTGCGGCACGAATGGTGGAGCAGCACCGGCAGAAGGCGGCGCAGCAGCTGCTGCAGCAGCAGCAGCTGCAGGCGCAGCGGCCGCAGCAGCACCAGCTGCGACAACGGCCTGCTGGCCAGACCAACATCACCAGCTTTTTTGCTACCGCTCGCGACGGGAGCCAAGGGAAGCGGGGATCGGCCGACCTGGCGTCACAACTGCTCGACACGGACAGTGTGCGCATGCGCTTTGGCTGGTCGGTGGTGGGTCAGCACCCTCTGCCTTGCCTATTCCGTAAGGGAGAGCGGTTTTGTCCAGTGCGTGCGGTGGAGAAGATGCTGCTCAGTCTATACCTGCAGAAGCTGCCCATGGATGTGTGCAACTGTACCTCTATTAAAAGCTACTTTGTGACAGAAAACGAGGCCAAATTGTTGAACGAAATCAACTACCGTCACTGTGAGTATTTCTATGGACGTGAGGCCTTCACGCCCAAAGACTGTATAGTGCGCGTTGATGATGCCCGACAATTTGCCGATTTTCTGGCTTTGTGCGAACGAAAGATGGTAAACATGCAGAGTAAGCCCGACGACAGATGTGGCTTCCTGCGCATTAACGGTGAATCGGTGGTGCCATTTACCATCAAACGCGTCACAGTGAATGGTGAAAAACGTGATGTGCGTTTCGTGCCACTTTTCTACTTCGAGGGTGAGACAGAGCATCTAAAACACAAGGCGGAACAATTGACTGGTTGGGACCTGGCGTACCTGAAACTGTGCTGCAAAGTGCAGGGCATCCGCAGCGAACTATTCCAGAGTGACACGTGCGACGTTGTGAGCTTAGATGATGTGAAACGTCACTTTCCAAGTGGAACTCAGTTCCAGACATGGTGGCCGATTAAGCGCTTTGAGTTCAAATTGACCAACCAACCAAAGCCGAGTTTCTGGGAGTGCCAGCCGCCGCCGAGCAGCAGCCAGGTGACGCCCGTCTCAGCGACGGCCGGCCGCGTCACCGTCTCGCGCCAGACAACGGCGACGCCTGTGGCCAGCGCAGCCGCCCCACCGGCCTCACGCTCCCAGATGGCCCAGTGGGCGTCGGGTCGGCTTGGCTCTGCAGCTGTGCAGCAGCGGACACCTGCAGCCGCAACGGCCAGCTCCAACACCACGTACGGCCAGCTGCTTCTCACCAACGGGGTAAGATTATGACCGTACACTATTTATTATTCAGCATGTAAGCGAAGTACGTAATCGGTCGCGTAATGTATGCTACATGGAATGAAAAGATCCGGTTAATGTACGGCCCTTCAACAAAAGAGTGGGTGGTTAGCCGATAGGGTTTTGATTAGGAACGTGCGAGCGAGCGAAGCGAAGTCTTTTCAATATGTAGGGGAGAGTGGGGCACATTCGTGCATGGGGCACATTCGTTTTCAGCAGTTTATGGGAACACTAGTGACTGCACGAGCCAAGGGCGGATCCAGCCGGCCGTCTTGGGGGGGGGGGGGGGGCAACCGGTTGGGACTAGCCAAACATAGGGTACCCCCAAATCTAGTTTTCTCACCGGTTTTAGGCCACTTATTTTTCACCCTTCGCCTTTTCATCGAAAAAAAAAAAAAACGAAACGAAAACATTTGCAAAAAGTGTGATATTTTGTCTCAGCTGAGTCAAGGAACTTCCTTTTTGGTAACGTAGAATAAAGTTTTAAATCTTCCACATGAGCTTTCAAGCCAGGCAAAGAGGGGGATTTTTTTCTTAAATGTTTTCTTCCCTTTAGTTTTCCTTTGTGACCCACAACCGCTAATTAAGGGAGGGCAAGCTGCCCCGACGGTTCCTAGCACTATGAAGAGTTGTGGGGCAGCGCCCCCACGGCCCCAGAGTTGTGGGGGCAGGCTGCCCCCACTGACCCCCAGCTCCCGCGCCCATGACCACCTACCCATGTGGCATGTGGCATTAAGTATAACTTCAAATAGTGGGTTTAGTTAGTGACATATGATGGAGCATTAGGGGTTTTAGGGGTGCACATGCACCCCCTAACTGAATAAAGCACCTTCTCAAAATGACGCTTGAAACACTTCAAAAATAAGTACAGGTAAGGGGAAATTGTGTCTTCCTCTGTTAACCCTCGCCCGTATAGAGGGGAGGGGTCGAACAGACCCCACCCCCCTCGGTTCTTCGCGAATAACTCGCGTAAAAACGGCTAATCGCGACGAAACTTTCAGTACCCTCGAGTTGATCAATTTTGCATCTACCCTAAAACTTTAATTACCCTGACCCGAGTGACCTTTGACCTGTGACCTATTTCTCGAGACCATGTTTGGCCGGGATCGCGATTCGGCGTATGTTGGCTCGTATTAGCCGCGCTTTGCAGTCTTTTCGTGGTTTCAAGCGTTCAAACATGTGATATGATGTTGGTCCCATGCATTTGGATGGGTGTGAAGGTCACCTGAAGGTCAGGTCAGGTCATTGACCTTTGATGACCTCAGTTCACTTTTTCGAGTTTTACATGTTTCTATGCTAGTTTTTGGAGCTGAACTCGAATTCAGCAACCATTTGAACATTTACGAAGTACTTTTGGTGCCTTCGTAACATGTTACGAAGCTGTCAGAGGCGGTTGACACGTACTACGAATACCCGGCAGGACCACTACTGGTTGACCTGACCCGACCTGGCCTAAATGCATGAAGACATCTTCTGGGATCAACACTAACACGATATTCGTGATCAGCACCCCGAAAAAGCTCAGCCACACTTACGACGCTCTAACAGGTCCCAATTTTCCCGACTTTTGGGTCATTGACCTGACCTGGAAGGTCAACCATGAACCAATGACCTAGGACCTTAAATTGGGCATCATCGTCCTCCTCTCGTCACGGGCAGCACGCTCTTTTTTTCGTGAAGCTCTAGCTCGATCAGCGGCCAAACGGCAATGGGGGCAACGGACCCCCCCCCTATACCTTCGTGGCTGACAAAACGCCAATGCGGGCGAGGTTTAAATCCATATACATTCAGGCATGAGACAAGAAAGCTCCTGGTTAATAGTGTTAACGAACTATGAAGAAGCTTCAGCTATTAAGCTTTACCTTCGCCCCAGTGGGGGGGGGGGGCATATGTTACCACCCTGTCGCGTTTTTTGCGTGTAAATAAAAAACCGCGGCGCGTAGCGCCGCGCCGCTTGGGGTAGCTTTTGGTACATCAATTTTGGACAATGTGTGAAATTTTTGACCCCAGGTCATGCCAGGTCAGGTCACCAGGTCAAGTTAACTGACCAAGCCTAAAAAAGTTTGCAATCATGTCCAGCCTGCAGTGTTTGTCAGAAAGGTTTTAAACTTGGTGGATTGCATGCTCTTATGTGCGCCTAGAATTTGTATATCTCGGATTTTTTATACCCGTGACCTAAGGTCAGGTCAGTGGTGTGACCCTTCCATTACAAGTCAATGGAGAAAAATGAAAATGCCTCTAGATCCGTGTGTACGCATCGGAACAGTCCAAATATTTCAGAATCACAATGATTTAGTCCACTCGTGATGACCAAGGTGTCATTTAATTTTGCTGATAGCCTCTAGACAGGTCATCTGAGGTCACTTGAGGCTACAAACAGTTTTTTGCCAATAACTCGCGATTGGAAAGAGATAGAACGCTGGGGATGGTCTCATTGTGTTTGTCTTGTTGAGACACATCGACTGATATGCAACATGACCTTTTCCGGTAAGGTCATGACCTTGACCTGAGGTCAAATTTTCAAGTTGACCTTTCAAGGTCAAATTATAGTTCATTCGACGCGTCTCGGCGAGGGGAACACGATTCTGGCAATAGAAATGTCGTGGCTTTTGTAGTCGAAAGTTATTGTCGAAAGACACTTCGTAAAAACAGCTATTTTTGGAGTTTTTGCCCTCTGGAGGCTAAACCGTTGACCTGAGGTCAATATTGATAATCACCTTTTCAAAAGAAGAGTTCAAAAGCTATCGTTTGCTCTTCCATGCGTTTTTCTAGCTACCATAGTTCCTGAGATAGCGGCATGTTTTCTGAAAAATATAATGACAATTGGCAAATTTTGACCTATGATGACCTCTGGTCACTGGTGACCCCAATATTGCTCTAAGGTGAAAAATGACTGAAATACTTTCAAACGTACGCATTGAGAGCTATCGACTGCTTTTTACCGCGTCTTTATAGCCCTCTTAGTTTTTGAGTTAGAGGTGGGTGGTAACATATGCCCCCCCCCCCCCCCACTAGGGCGAAGTTGGCTGAGACCGCCACTGGGGCGCGGGTTAAGAAGCTTCTGAAATCTCTCAAGCTGAAGTTGATTATACTCAGTGTTGTTATGATCATTCCTCAGTTTTCTGACAAGAATCACACATTTGGCCATGGCGAACGTTGAAAATACCCTTTTCTGAAAAAAGTGCCTAATGACAATCTTATTTTCCAACAAATTTGCAATTAAAACCAACCAGTACACAATAAAGAACACGTGCCTATGAATGCGAATAACAATGTGATATCATGTCGATTTCTACTACATGTTAACCGTCGCCGGCACAGGCCATTTTGACTCTGGTTGGCAGAGTTTTCACCTTTGCCCCAAGGTCACTCAATCATCAAAGCAATATTGCAGTTTTTAACTTTTTCAGCATAGGAACTTTGAGAATGTTTATTTTTTAGTTTTCTTGACTTACAGGGTGTCTCAAAAAAAGTGTCACGGTTTTGAACATCTCCTGTTTCGTTACCATAAGGCCTACATCATTCAAATTTTCTAGATTTAGTGGCAACGTTTTGACATTTTATGTGGTAAAATTACAAGTTCCTAGGCAGAATAGTTTTTACATTAGAACAAAAAAATAAAAAAGCTCATTTTTCGTGCTGTAGGAGATGATAGGTCACAGCCTGCCGTCGATCCTGAAGAGTCTGGCCCCTTTCGCCTGATCATGAATCCAGAAACAAGCTCAGCAATACATTTTTGAAACCTTTATAAGTAAGAACACCGCGTACAACTGCTGTCTGGAGCACAGCAGCAAGCTGAAGCACAGCCACAAACAGGCGCGGATACAAGGGGGGGGGGGCCATGGGGGCCATGGCCCCCCCCTTGGCCGTTTTTTTTTCAAAAATAAAATAAAAAGTTAAAAAGCTGAAAAGGGGGCCTCCTGAAAATAAAGTGGCCGAAATCCGATGAGTTTTTTTTTTAACCTACCCACTTAGTTATTTCTTAGAGGACTAGCTGAGAAGACTTCTTTGTTAGAAGATTGGTAAAGCTTTTCATAACTTGGAGGTCTCTTATACTCACAGAGATGACCACTTTTACAGGGCCTCCTAACCTGCACAGAGGGCCTCCAAGCCTGTACAGATGTCCTAACAAACACAAAATCTCTTAGCCTACACAGAGGCCTCCACTCGCATCCGAACAAAGGGCCTCCTAGCCAACTCAGAGGGCCTCCTAACTCACACAGAAGGTCTCCTATCCTGCACAGAGGGACTCCAAGCCTGCACAGATATCCTCTTCGCCAACACAGGACCTCTTAATCTCCACAGAGGGCCTCCACTCGCATCCACACAAAGGGTCTCCAAGTCTGTACTGAGGGCCTGCGCTCGCATCTGCACAGAGGGCCTCCTAGCTATCACAGAGGGCTTCCTAGTTCACATACAAGGCCTCCTAGCAGGGGCGGATCCAGGGGGGCGATAGGGACTATAGCGCCCCCCCCCGGGCGACTTTCTCATTTTCTTTTTTTTTTGCAAAAAAAGCATGATAGGGGGCCCCCAAAAATAAAGTGGACGAAATCCAGGCTTAAACTTTTGGGGGTAGGTAGGGCCCCCATCGATGGGGGGCCCCCGATTCGGAATAGCCCCTCCCTTGGCAAAATGCTGGATCCGCCCCTGGCCACAAACATGGGCAACGATCAACACTGATTGATTTTCAGACGACGCGAGTTTCCATGCCTCGACAGTCGACGGCTTCATCTTTGAGGCAAAATCCTCTACTCGGTTTTGTTCCGAAACACATAAAGAGAAGAAAGGATAGCTGATGGACAGTTTTAAAATTCCTACTCAAACGTGCACAGCTTCTGGGTGTGCGCAATGTGGCAGTGTGTCACAAGTCCTTTGCTCGGTGTCAGCGACTGCAGCTTTTGACGGAAGAGTCAGGCATGGCAACGGCGCTGTTCTGAGACTAATGGGTGATTGCAATTCCATTGTCTGTTTTGCGTGACGTTTTTGGTCTCTAATAGTTGTAGATAATTACTGACGAGCATGTTGCTGGATGCAACAGGCAAAAGCCGGAGTCTTACCGAAATCGTCGGCAGACTGTGACGTATACCATCTCCTATAGCGCCCAATATTGAGTTTTTTTATTTTTTGTTCTGGTGCAAAAACCATTTTGCTTAGGAACTTGAAATTCTGCCACACAAAATGTCATAATATTGCCACTAAATCTGGAAAATTTGAACGATGTTGGTCATGTAGCTAGGAAATGGGAGATGTTCAAAACCGTGACACTTTTTTGAGACACCCTGTATGTCTTGGGGAGGGGGCCAAAAGATAGTATGGCCCCCCTTTGACCGTCTTGGGGGGGGGGGGGCATGGCCCCGTTGGCCCCCCTCCCTTGGATCCGCCCTTGGCACGAGCTCAGGGTAAATTATGGAAATATGCCTATCATTGCCGCCCTTCGTTCACCGTAGAAGACAACACTGTACCTGTTATGCTTGATAAAAACGCACATTTGTAATATTCTTGAGCTTTGCAAACTTTTCTCATATCATCCATTTTCGTGATCCTGACTCGGAAATGTGGTTCAGCTTTCCAAAATTGGGGGCGAAGAAGCTCACTCTATTCACGGAAATGCTGCAAACTTGTTTGTTGAAAAAGTGTCATTTTCTCAACAAGAAATTTTGAAATATATTACAAATAACGTTGTGGGGCAGGTTCGTGTACGCACTGCCTGGGAGTGGGGGCACATTCGTGCATATTTTTTAGTTTTTGCGATTGCGATGTGCACCTCGATGCGATGGATGTTTTTTCCAAACCAAAATGCTTAGCCGTCAAAAGACAACCGACCGAAATGTATACATGACCCACGGACACAAGACCAACCAAACGCCCACCGATCGAAAATATCCCTTATTCGCGTTGCGGAGCAAGTGGTTCACCCTAGCGGGCCCCATCCACCCGGAGGGCCCGGGCCCCATCCACAGGGGGCTGGTCCCCGTCCGCACGAGGGCCCGGGCTCCGTCCACCCGGGGCTCCGGGCCCCGTCCACCCGGGGCTCGGGCCCCGTCCACCCGGGGCTCCGGGGCCCGTCCATCAGAGGGCCCGGGCCCCGTCCACCCGAGGGCCCGGGCTCCGTCCACCCGGGGCTCCGTGGCCCGTCCACCAGGGGCCCGGGTCCCGTTCTCCCAGGGACCCGGGCCCCGTTCTCCCGGGGGTCCGGGCCCCGTCCACCCGGGCCCCGACCCCATCCACCTGGGGCCCGGGCCCCGTCCACCCGGGGCTCCGGGGCCCGTCCACCAGGGGCCCGGGACCCGTTCTCCCGGGGCCCGGGTCCAATCCACCCGGGGCCCGGGCCCCGTCCACCCAGGGCCGGACCCCATCCACCCGGGGCCCGGGCCCCGTTCTCCCGGGGACCCGGCCCCATTCACCCGGGGGCCCGGGCCCCATTCACCCGAGGGCCCGGGCCCTATCCCCACGAGGGCCCGGGCCCTATCCCCACGAGGGCCCGGGCCACGTCCACCTGGGCTCCGAGTCCGGGCCCCTTTCTCCCGGGGGCCCGGGCCCCGGACTCGGAGCCCAGGTGGACGTGGCCCGGGCCCCCGTGGGGATAGGGCCCGGGCCCTCGGGTGAATGGGGCCCGGGCCCCCGGGTGAATGGGGCCGGGTCCCCGGGAGAACGGGGCCCAGGCCCGTCCACCCGGGCCCGTACTCCCGGGCCCGAACCCATCCACCGGGGGGCCCGGCCCCGTCCACCCGGGGGTCCGGGCCCCATCCACCCGCAGTCTGGGCCCCGTCCACCCGGGGCCCGGGCCCGTTCTCCTGAGGGCCTGGGCCCCATCCACCGGGGGGTCCGGGCCCCGTCCACCCGGGGCTCGGGGCCCGTTCTCCCGGGGGCCCGGGCTCCGTCCACCCGGGGCTCCGGGGCCCGTTCTCCCGGGGCCCGGACCCATCCACCGGGGGCCTCAGGCCAACCCTCACCCGTGGTGTCCCAACTCCCAGTAGGCACTTTTCGAAGCGGACCCGTCCGATTATGTAGATTAGGATCTCTCTCTCTCTCTCTCTCTCTCTCTCTCTCTCTCTCTCTCTCTCTCTCTCTCTCTCTCTCTCTCTCTCTCTCTCTCTCTCTCTCTCTCTCTCTCTCTCTCTCTTTCTCTCTTTCTCTCTTTCTCTAGCGGGCCCCTGACAGAAATTTCGGGGGGGGGGATCAGCTGACCCTCTGACCCCCCCTGGCTGCGCCACTGGGTGACTGACAGTTGTTTGTCTAACGGTCTGTCCGACAGGTGCCCATCACGTCCGTGCTGACGGCCGTCAATGGTCAGCTCCGTCAGTCGAGCCTGTCGCAGTCCGCGTCCGGCGCGCCAAGGTGAGTCGCGCGCACGCTTGGACCATGGCCTCGCGGCGCGGGCGGCAGACTGACTCCCTCACACTGGTTGGATTTCACACTCAGCCTGGATAGGTGAGAAACTGATTACAGTGTAATGCATTATGGTGTGTCATGAACTTTGATTATTATTATTTAATAGAGGCGCAGCATTACGCACAGCGTAAGAATAGGACCGCTGCAGCATTTTTCGAGTAGCGAAGCGGATCCGAAGGTTGGGACTTCGCGCGGCCGCCCTCTAAAGCAAACAACACCGCAAACGCCGCAAAAAAGAAAACCGCCCGCATCGCACACACGCCAGTAAAAGTATATCATCTTTCATTGCAATCGGCCAAGTAGCGGCTGTGTTATTGTAAGAAAAGTATATTTAATTTACTGGTGAATCCCTTTGACGGGCGTGTCCTGCGCCGGTGTTCATTGTCAAAGGTCAACGACCTCCCTGCTCTGATTTCACTCAGTTTTGCAAGCGATGAAACTGAGCCTAAGGCACGTTCTCTCTGATCGGCGCCGGCCGCGGCCCAAAATGCCGCAACGATGCGCCCGCCACGTGCAAACCACCGAACCCACCCCGTCGAAAATTTAATACGACAAATGGTTGCACGCACCCGACTCGGCACGAAAATCTCACCCCCGTAGCCTGCACCGTTCCGGAGCAATAGCCCGCCAAGCGTGACTGATGTGTTGCATACATGCATACATACAGACATTTTGATTTTTACATAAGTAACTAGAGAGACAGCATTACGCGCAGCGTAATTTATGAATCTGTGAAAATACGGGAAACAACGTTACGCCGCCAAAGACAAACACCGCAAAAAAACGCGCAAAATGAACGCCCGAAACACGAACGCAAACGTCGCAAAAAAAAAGCAATCCAAGCCCCCGACAGCCGCAAACCGCAAAGAACACCGCGAACGCCGCAAAAATGAAAACCGCCCGCATCGCACGCACGCACGCCACCAACCGCAAACGCCGCATAAAAGAAAACAAACGCTCGCTCGCCGCCAAACGCAAACACCGCGCGCCCGGCAGCCGCACACCGCAAACAACACCGCAAACGCCGCAAAAAAATGAAACCGCCCGCATCGCACACACGCACACCACCAACCGGAAACACCGCAAAAAAACGCCCGCCCGCCGCCAAACGCAAACACCGCAAAAACACCCGCCCTACGACAACCGCAAATACTGCAAAAAAAAAACGCAAAATGAACGCCTGAAAAACCAACGAAGACGTTGCAAAAAAAAAAAAACAATCCAAGCGCCCGACCGCGGCAAACCGCAAACAACGCCGCAATAAATGAAAACCGCCCACATCGCACGCACGCACGCCACCAACCGCAAACGGCGCAAAAAAGAAGAAAGAAAAACGCCCGTCCGCCGCCAAACGCAAACACCGCAAAAAACGCGAAAATTGAACGCCCGAACACCAACGCAAACGTCGCAAAAAATCTAAGCGCCCGACCGCAATCTGGCCAGCGATATAACGGTGACAGAATGTGCTCATCTCATCCGTTGGACCAACTCTTCTAGTTCAGTGTTACCGGGGGGGGGGGGGGTACGCTCCGGCTGTTAAGCATTACGAAAAGTGGTGACAGACATTTGTGAAGGATTGTCGACGAGCTCTTGTTCCGCGAGCAGTACTTACACGCTAGCGGAAAATCCACCAATCAGCGCTCGGCAGTACTCGACGCTGATTGGCCCGACGCTCGTGACGAAATTGCGGGGGACCGCAGTTATTCTCTATGGATCCGAGTAGGCTTTTGGATTTCGGAGGGGTTTCTTTAAGGTTATATGCTGTTTCGAGCTGTTTTCGAGTTGAAATATATTTCTTATGACTGTTAGCTATATAATGACATCATAAAATCATGATTTTAATAAATATTACCGATGTAATATCGGCCGAAATGACATGCTGTCATGGCACGGACTGCCCTGCGGCCGAAGTGGGGCTCCTAGTGCCAAAACGTATGGTAATAATGGGTTGACGAAGGGTTATTGGAGACTCTTAGAGCCCCACCAGGATTCGGTATAGGGTCATCAGAGGCTGGGAACGTCCATCAGGGGTCTGAGTAAGCCTGGCATACATGACACATCATGGAACATGGGTCAATGTAGATCCATTAGGGGCCGTTGAAGGGCCATCATCATTGGGCCCGCAATTACCTCTGATGGGCATATGCCGTTCCCCCATGGACTAACGCTGGCCCCTGATGAGCCATCATCAGCCCCTGATAGGTCTACAAAGCCCCCCTGCTGGGTCTAAATTGGTCTTTGATATGCCCAAATGGGCCACTGAGAAACCCGTACAACATCCCCTCACTGCACCTGATGGACCAATGCCGTCCCCTCATGGGTCCACCACGGCTCTTTAATGGCGTCTTCAAGTTCCCCAACCCGTACAACATCCCCTCACTGCACCTGATGGACCAATGCCGTCCCCTCATGGGTCCACCACGGCTCTTTAATGGCGTCTTCAAGTTCCCTGAAGTGCCTTTATTGGCCTAAATGGACCCCTGGTTGGCTTATGTGGTCCCTAATGGTCCTATATGGCCCCCATGAGCCCTCAACGTCCCTAGACAGCCTTACATCATATGCCACTGGGCCCTGTTGGGTCAGCACCGGCCCCTGGTAGGCCTGCACTGGACCCGGTGGGCCTATACCGACCCATAAAGGGCCTATGTCGAGCCCTCATGGGCCTCCGATGATCATACGCCGGCATGTGTGGCCCCATCAGCAGTGGTCCGTCTACCTCATGTACTTACGGTCTTTTTGGCCGATGTGACACCGGTAGTATATAGAGATGTCATGATTAAATGTCGTTATTACATAGTTAAAAGTCACGGAAAGAATATCCAAGCCCAAAAATGGCCTCAAACCCAGTAAAAACTGATATAAATCCCCTTCAAATGTCATTACTCTATTAAACGCCATAGGGGAATAGCTGCAGTCCCCCGCAATTTCGTCACGAGCATCGGGCCAATCAGCGTTGAGTATTGCCGAGCGCCGATTGGTCGATTTCCGCTAGCTTGTAAATGCTGCTTGCGGATATAGTCTTGAACAAGTGAGGGTCGCGGCAACTAATTATCGCTTGTCACCACGTTTTCGTCGGGAGCGTTCTACCTGGTTTATATAGCCTTGAGTGTTACCCAGCCCAAAAAAGATCGGTGATATGCACGTTTCGGTACCTTATTGCGTTTTATTTTTCCCTCAGTTGCCGTTACTACACACAGTAATGAGTGGATTCATCGCACACATTGAACCCAAGATCACAGTTGCGGTTGGACTATGGGATATGCACTAGGACATCAATGTCGAGGATGACATCGGGAGTTGTACTGGTCACTAACCATATCGGTCGACATTTCATATTAGTGATAACTTTTCTTAGTTCTCATAATTGATGCAATTCTTATTCCTATACTAGTGGAATGTTGATACAATAACTGATTCAGAAATGGTCGTATAGTCGATTAATTCGATTGATTCGAGAGTAACCTATTAAACACAGCACTATGCATTTACATTCTATCAAACGAGTGAAGTTGGGAAGCAGGTTTTCACGAATACATGTTTCAATGAAAATGACAGCGTAACGGGCGTTGTTTTGCTTCTTGCCAAGATATGAATGCAAATGGGAATGATTGTCATCTCGATTGAATGGTTATTTGTGTTAAAGATATTGATGGACGATTGTGTTAAAGATATTTATGAACGATTGTATGTACGCCGCGCGGGGCTGGGGGGGGGGGGGTAAATTTTACCCACCCTCGCGAATTTTTGCAATATCAAAAACGGCGGCGCGCAGCGCCACCAAACTTTCAGTACCTTTTCTTACATCAATTTGACACGTTCCCTGAAAATTCGAGCGAAATCCGTCGGAAAAGTTTTGAGAAATTGACGTTTTAGTGACGTCATGTTCGCCATTTTCGCCTCAAAAACGGCAAAATTTCAAACGCCGCTAACATCTTCATTTTTGAAGGAATCAAGACGTAACAAAAAAGGTTATACGTAATTCTACTTTGTCTATCAAATGGCTATCTCGGTTTTTGAAAATTTTGGATTTTGGCCCAAACTTTTTCAAAATACTGACTTTTTTGGGAAAATAATTATAAAACCCAAATTTTGAGTGTATCGAAAAAACCGGAATATATGTCAGAAGTGGTCTATGTGCACCTACATACCAATTTTTAGAAGAATCGGTTAAAAAATGTGGGAGTTATTAAGAAAATTATGGCGTCATGACACACAATTTTTTTTTTTAAAAATGATTTTTTGGAAGTTCTAGACCTCGTACGGAAACAAAAATAGCACCATTCGATTCGCCGTGAAAAACTGCATCAGATAGACACCTTTTTAGGTCTTAACAACCAACTTCAAAATTTGACCCCACTTGACCTGACCTTGACCTGACCTCGACCTGAAATTCATCCAGAGGTGGTCCATATCACTTATTGAGTGTGCCTATTGAATTCTATGAGTAAAATGACCCATAAAACATGCGTCGCACATGCCCTTTTCTATATTTTGTTTTTGGTGACCTGACCTGACCTGACCTGACCTTGACCTTGACCTCTGAATGATATGGTATGAAACGAATATTGTCTTGGTAGCCTAAGAACACGTTTTGGGCAATCAGTCTCAGTCCATGACTCCATTCTTCGGCAACTACGGTGCAAGGCCGATTCTGTAGGAACTTGCAAATTGTACCCTTGACCTGACCTTGACCTTGACCTCAAACTTTAAATTAAGTACATATTTTTAGTTGTTCGTGATGACTTTCGATTGGCGTTTGAATTTTCCAAATCGGACCATTAGTTCGGGAGATAACAGGGGGGGGGGAAATTTACCCACCCCCAGCCCCGCGCGTTCGGCTGGAGACCCCAGCCCCGCGCGGGTTAATGACATCACGGACCGGTAGAATTTGTTCTCGATACCGCAGTGTGGAAGTGTAAGTGTAACCGGAGGTGCTACTGCTACAATTGCTTGCTCTCGTTGCTGTTTTTTTAGCTCTAGGTCACTGAAGAAATGCAAACCTGTTATCTAGCGACGCACGTTCCGAACCATAGATGTACTTTTTTCTGTTTTTGTGCCTTATATGCATGTCTGAAGATGTTAACGGATATGTTGACGAAACGTTACCTGGCAATATAGGCACTATTTTACATAAATTTTCTTTAGATGATCGAAAAACTGTGAGAAGCCTCTTGGCAAGAAGCAAAACAACGCCCGTTACGCTGTCATTTTGTCAAACGTGAATATGCAGTATGCGCAGCTGTATCTTCGGGGAGCAGACGTCGGTGTCCGTGGTCATCTGGCAGTAGGGATCTTGATGGATTCGTAGGTTCACGATGATGACAGGAGTGCTTGGAAATTGGAAGGCTCGCGATCTTCTTTCAGGAATGGATGAGGAAGATGCCTGGAATAGAGTAAAGTATCGGGAAGGTGGTGGTTCGCCAATGACCAGTGGCCGTTGAAGTTGTTGCTATTTAACGATTGTCTGAAAAAGGATTGTTATTTCTACATATGTATCACTGAAGTGTTTTCTTCTAAGATACATCAGCACTGAATTTGGTAAGGTCATTTCCCACCTTTTCTATGGAAATTTGAGCTTTAAAAAATCAGTAGTCCATTTTTCAAAAAAAAAAAATACATACTCTGGCGGTTTTTTCTACATCCTCCCCCAAACGCAAAGTGAATTTGGCCACACTGGAGAAATACATTTAGAAACAGCTGGGATAAAGATATTTTGATTGCACCGTATAATCATAACGCTAGGGGTGTTGCAATATTGACCCATGGAGTAGAAGCTGAATATAAAGAAGTAATCAATAACATAAATCCTAAATAATCCGCCGCCGCAGCCGGCGGCGGCGGCGGCGTTTATATCCATTGACCTACCGTGCTGTGTTAGCGCTGACGTCGGCGGGCTGGTTTCGCAGGCTCAGCGGCCAGTCGAGTCTGCCGCCCGCCTATCAGACGGCCTTGACGCCGCAGTTGCTGGCACAGATGCAGCAGCAAATGTCGGTCTACAGCAGCCCCAGCGTGGTCCGCCAGGAGGTAAGCACCCGGCCTCCGGCCCCAGGCCATCTTTTGAAGGTACAGGGACCCGCAGTTGCTACTGTACACATATATTACCAATTTAGAATTGCGCTATTATTTGCTAAGTGCTGGCCATTGGAGAAAGGAAATGTAGTGCAAAGTATGGAGGAATAACACATGTTTGCTCCTAAGACGTATGTTTTGTATAATTCCTCTTACCGCAACAGATATTCTTCCAAAACTACAATCGTGCTATTTTTCCGCGCCGGTTGCCTCCCCAGAGCCCATCCTTGGTATCGCCTATAGCTTCCGTTCCCGCTACGTGAATGAAAGTCACGTGACTACTACAGGTTTGCGCTCAGTACTAACACACCTAGCCCGAGGGCCGGTCCGTAGCGGGGAGGGGTAGAACGCCAGAGCTCCAGCGCAGTGGAGGTGGTGGTGGCCCGTATCATAAAGAGGCAACCGTAAGCAGAACTACAATTGCCGCAGTATAAGATTATGATCAAGTTTTCTTTAGATGTATTGATTGACAAGTAAGTGCAATGCTTATCCGATATAATAAAACGGTGTCCAAGGCCTTGGAAGAACTATAAAACATATTCAGCAGCGTATAAATTTCTGATACAGGCCATGACCTTTCACCTTGCCTCCGGGGAGGACCGCTCAGGAAGCCACATACCGAACGAATCGAGGCCTCGCAGCGCGGCGGCAGAGGAGGTGGATAAACCATCGCCAGATCTTTCGGTTACTATGTTTCCAGAAGAAGGAGGGGGGGGGGGGTGGAGGGTGAGGGCTGTTTTCAACCCATTCACCAATCCTTTCCTTATTAACTTATAGCTTACCGAAAAATGCAACACAATGGTGGCCGTCACGAGATGTAGCGAAGAGTGCCTCAGCCACACCGGTTTTGAGTAAACTTTAAGCATTGGAATTCAGGCCAGTGATCCTGAAGCATTATTTTATTTTTGTCGTGCATAAGCTGGGATGACGTGGTTCAAGTTAATTGCGAAGAAACGGTTTTAGTTTCAGAACATTTATGAGGCTAGTCGCGCCAAATAGTATACGTTTGTTGCAAAATGTCAAATAGAATGTTGACGTGCTATCCAGATGATGGAATTTATTTGACACAAGAAGTCAAAAAGTGGCATCGTTAGTCATCCTGCATACCTATAAATCGATTCGTCATCTTGGTTTGAGCTCAATAGTTCTTTTCGCGGATGATCGGTTTCGTTTTCTTTCTTTTTTTTTGGGGGGGGGACAGATTATGAGCCAGTAACCACCCTCCCCAGCCCCCCAAACAACAATTGTTGACAAATACTGTGATGGCCTAAAAAAATGCCCTCAATTGTGTTACGTAGGGGAAAATGAGGTAAGTTGAGCCGCTTTTTGTTTTCGTAAGCTACAGGCTAACCTGATCATTTTTCTGCGTTTACGGGTTGGACGGACAGATTGGTGATTTGCGCATGTAATGGTGGCCAGAAATGCTTCATACCGCTTATTTTTGTACTGAAAAGGCTACGTCAAAAATCATCTTGCACGTTGCTCATCTTACCCCATGGGCGGGGTAAGCTGAGACACGTCGTGGGGAAAGTTGAGCATGGATAGAAAAAGCGAACCTTTTCTTTTCCCGGGCGCGGCGAAGAGTGGGCTCTTTTATTTACTCCATGGCATAGATACTTATGGCAAAGTTTTTTTTCCTCCATCAAAAAGTGACTGTGTGATTGTGCTGGACCTGGTTAACGCGAGCCTCGAGACGGGCACGGTTCCTGCATCGTGGAAACACGCTACCATAACACCGATCCCCAAGGGGAAGCTAATCTCATCCGACCCATCTAGCACGCGGCCTATCTCCATGCTGCCGGCGATCACCAAAATCACCGAGAGGGCCGTCCAGCTCCAGCTCGCCGAGTACATGGAGAGGCACCATCTGCTCAGCGAGACGCAGCACGGCTATCGGAAGAGTCACTCCTGCGAGATGGCACTTCACGTAGTGACCGACGACATCCTGCGAGCGATGGACAGCGGTGAAATCGCCCTCTGGGCGATGGTCGACCTCTCAAAGTGCTTTGACATGGTGCCGCATGACAGGCTGATCGACAAACTACTTCTATATGGCGTTGACCCTTTTTGGTTCACGGACTATTTAAACGGTCACACACAGCACGTGCAGACGGTGAATCATGAAGGACACGAGATCAAATCAGCCGTGAAACAGAATGCAGTCGGTGTGTACCAGGGAGGTTCGTTAAGTTGTATACTGTGGTGTGTGTTTTCCAACGACCTCTGTCTGCATGTACCGCCACCTGTAAAGGTAGTGCAGTTCGCAGACGACACCCAGATCTGGATCACGGGCAAGAAACAAGACTTGCCTCAGCTGGTGACACAACTCGAGACCGCTCTCCAGAGTATGTTCGACTGGTTTTGTAGCAACAACATGAAAGTGAATGAGGCAAAAACTGAGCTCATGTTATTCGGAACAAGGCAAATGCTGAGAGATATCGCGGAGGTGACCGTTAAATTTAATGGTGCCACCATTAGATCTATGAACCAGGCCCGCAACCTAGGAGTGATATTTGACCAACACCTCGACTTTCGTCTGCATGTAGACCAGCTTGTACCGAAGTGCACCGGCATGTTACTCGCTTTGAACCATGCAAAACACGTGATTCCAATGGCCACTGTAAAATATCTCATTACCGCGCTAGTTTTTCCCGTGATGCGATACTGCATGTCTGTATACGGCATTTGTAACAAAACGCAGGTCCACCGAATTCAAAAGTTGATTAACTTCGCTGCGCGTGTTGTGTCTGGACGTCGGAAGACCGACCATATTTCTGACGTGGTTCGATCGCTGGGTTGGTTCAAAGCAGACGAGCTCATTTCCTATCATCGAGTTCTTGTCATTCACCGACTCATGTCATGCCTCGTTCCGCCGCCATTAGCGCAGACTATCGGTGCTCCTGCTCGCCGCCAGCACGATCACGACACACGGTCTGCTGACCTCCTGACTGTGCCACGTATTCGTACCGAGACTGGTCGCAAGCGCTTGTGTTTCAGCGGTGTGAAATTGTATAATGAGGTACCGAAGCCTGCAGGAACCTCATTCAAGACTGCTGCAAAGCGCCACCTGCGTGCCGTCGAAACGTGACGAGAGCTGGAGCCATGGGGTTTGTTGGCGAGTGCTGTGATTACCTGTGCGCCCTATATGGATAATGGGTATACTGTCACCTGCCTTACGTTTTTGTTTGTGTATCTGTGCTTTGGATGGATGCTACTGTATGTTTACCTTTTATCACTGTTTTATTTTTACTACGTACGATGGCGAAAAGCCACCAGTTTGCGTGGATCTATCGTGAATACACATTGAATTGAATTGAATTGAATTGACTGTTTTAAGCCTTCCAATAGCTCGTCAATTTTCTATCACGGAAGAAATCATTTTATCCTTCAGATAATCTGCAAATCACTTACAACTTGTGTAATCAACAAATAAAAACAATTTGCTACCATTTTTATTCAGCAGAAACAAGCGCAGCTCAGTTTGGTTTTCGACAGCGGGGACAACAATGGCTTATCCGGCTCATCTTCCCCCAGGTGAAAATGGCTCATCTTGCCCCACCCGTGGCCATTTTCGATTAATGACACCCGCTAAGGAAAATAACCATGCACCGCAGATAACAGCCATCTCATTTTTTTAAAGGCAAAACATGTCTTAGTTATCAGGGGCGATACCACATGTTACCGGGTGCTGAGCGTGAGAACGTTGCCGTCTCGCGTGAAAGACTGCAGCATCGTAAGCGAACGGCACATGGAAGCTCAAGTCAATTAGCGCCATAGGAGCTGAGAAACAAAGGGTGGCTTAACTTGCCCCTTGGCTCATCTTACCTCACTCTCCCCTATTTGGGGCTCTCAACTTTGATTTGTTAAAGTTGTTTGTCTGTTCATTATAAAAGCTGTCAAATTTGCCGTATCATTAAACTTTTATTGAGTTTGTATTTCACACTTATCTAAAATGAACAATTTTGTCACTGGCTTCTTTTATGAATGGAATTGGATGGTCGCATGAATGACGAATGAATAGCTCCATTTGAGCATCAGCTTAAATCAATCCTAAAATTTAATCTACCAGTCTGCAACGAAAAGGTTTAAAAACCAGTGCAAGTTAGGTGCAGTTTCTAATCTATGCCGTTTTTTTTTTATTAAGTGTCTCATAGCTCCTTAATCTTGAGCCGCTTCTCTTACGATTCATTTTATGTGGTGCTTACCAGGGCTGCGGAGTCGGAGTCGGAGTCGGAGTCGGAGTCGGTCGGAGTCGACAGTTGTGACCGGAGTCGGAGTCGGAGTCGGAGTCGATTTTAGAAACCCGAGCCGGAGTCGGAGTCGGAGTCACCGAAAATCTGTCGACTCCGCAGCCCTGCTAGGTCTGCGGAGTCGGAGTCGGGAGTTGGAGTCGGTCGGAGTCGACAATTCTGCCCGGAGTCGGAGTCGGAGTCGGAGCTGGTTTTTGAAAGCCAGAGTCGGAGTCGGAGTCGGAGTCGCCGAAAATCCATCGACTCCGCAGCCCTGGTGCTTACATTGTTCAAGAAGTAGTATTCGAGCTCGTTGGTCTTAAAAACTGCTATCGAAGTAAATTTAAGTGTTTCGGGCTTCGGCACTTAAAAACCAATCGATATTTAACCCTCACCCACTTAGGCATTTCTTTTCAGCGTCTTATATGTAGCGGAGGGGCGTAGAAACCCTCAGCCATTCATGAATAGCCAGAGCTTCGCTGAAAAATAAAAAAGAGCGAGCTGCTCGTGACGAGAGAAATTCGATGATTTGAGGGCCCTGGTCATCGCTGACGAGAGAAAGCCAATTATTTTTATGTCCTGGTCAATGCTGAGATCCTAGGTCACTGGTTGACCTCCCAGACCAGGTTAACCCTCGCCCGCACATGCCATTTTCCCATCCTAGAACGCACAAGGGGGGGGGGGGTTGCCACCCCCCCCGCGCCATTTCGTTCCTGTTGGAGATAG